AGAGGAGAAACGAGATTCAGTGTAATAAAGATAATAGTTTAAATTGTAGTTATTAAAAAAATTTTGTATTAAACTTTACATTCATTTCATGTTAATTAACATTATTTCAAAACGTGCTTTTCTCATATAATCCACTGATAAATATAATACATAAATTAATATAGATGTAGGATTACATTGTAAAATGTTCATAATTATTTTTAGAATAATTAAATAAAAAATGTCTATCGTTAATTATATATGATTTTTTAAAATCAATTACGAAAATAATTCGATGACGTATTTTAGGAAATATCTCTCAAATTTATAAATAAAATTATTAATGGAGTAGTATAGGTAATTTAAAATTAATTTATTTTAGAGTACTCGTTTCTGGGATGATTAATTAACAATTTAATCGTGAGAATACAAGTTATGACCATTGAAAATCCTTTAAGAATGTGTGATTAAAATGTTCTATAATTATATTGACTGTAATTTAAAGATAAAATATTTGAGAATCTTTGAAGTATTTATTTTTAAATAAATTCCTTAATTTTCATAATTACTTTTCCCAATGAAAGAAGATCGGTCTTCGAGATAATTGTCGATACAAGTATTTGGGAATTTTCCATTATTATCTATGTATGCAGACGCTACAATGGTTTATTCTATACAATTTTCTCTCGATCACAAAGCGTATAAGCACGAGATGTATGCAGAGAATAATTTCAAGCGAAGGAGAATCGTAGGCATATAAGTGCAATACGTCTTTGACGCTGCTGAATTTTCTATCTCACTCTAGCATAAAACTTCACGTTCTTTGATATGAAATTATTCATTGTTGAGCCCTTTATAATGGTGACAAATGACTCTACTTCTGACTCTCCACTGCATTCGGGCCCATTATGCAGCAAAACTTGAGCTTTTTTTCTCAAAGCTGCAAAATGGAACGAGAAAAAGTAGTAGAGAGACAGAGAGAGAGAGAGAGAGAGAGAGAGAGAGAGAGAGAGAGAGAGAGAGAGAGAGAGAGAGGGAAACGGTTCAGGGAACAAAAATCGAAAAAGAAAAAAGTATAAGCGAAGCTTCTCAGCTAATGATTCTTTAACTTTTAACTCCTTTTGGTCTTGATGGTTAAAATTTTAAAATAGTGCAACGGGGGTCAACGACAACCATGCATATATAATTGATTATGGCTCTCTCTGTCGTCGATATTTTATAAAAGCACTCCTGTCGATAAGAACTGCAATAATAAATGAGCAATATGTTCCTCGATTTCGGATATGGTTTTTTTATTTTTTTTTTTAACTTTTTCTCAACTGTCAAAGTTACATTCGCTATTAATTACGAGTATATTTATCGATATATAATTCACATGAATTTCAGAAAAGTTTTTACGTAAACAAGCTTTATTCTAAATTTATAAATAGAAAGAAAGCGATAATAAGATAAGTTGATGCTTAGTTTACAATTTAAACTTAAATAAAAAATTCATAAAATATAAATTAATATACTTGAACGATAAGAAAAATTTCTCATAGATGTGTCATTAAATCTCATTTTACAAAGATTTATAAGTTAAACATATAAATCCATTACTAATATTGCCGATCATTACATTTTTTATATTTCATAATTTATTTTGAATAATTTTTCTTAATTTATATATATATATATATATGCATGTATAAATCAAGAAGTTTTAAACGAATAGTTTTATTTCTACTCTTATTTCATTTCTAGATTCGAATTAAAGTTATTTTTGCTAGTAATACTTGAAAACTTTAATATAAATAGTTTCGTAGTAAATTGCATTAATATAAAATTAGATCTAACTAAATTATATGTAATAGTATGAATATTATATTTAAGGAATAGAGTGATGTGTACTTTAATAAACCAGTAATGAATTTAAATTTATAAGAAATGTATGAAAATATAAAAATAAGTTCCATCGTACTTTTATATTCTGCAATAAATTTTTCGAGTAGCTTTTATTTATAAAATGTGATTAAATTTCGACATGATCTATCGCTTGTACTTTTTAACCGTATGGATTATTAATATACGAGAATTTCCTTTCGATTTGCAAAGATGTTTTTTTAGAATAAATGTAATTTTCAAATGGTTTGTAAAAAAAGATTAATATTTTGAAAGATCATCAATAATGACAAATGAAGATTAAGCGGTGTTGGTGTAAAATAAATCTATGGTATCGTAATGCAGAAATGAATGGGCTTCCCGATATATCTGCTGTATACGGTACGAATCATTCCCTCTACAGATTTGCATATCCAGCGCATACAGGATCCAGTGGAAGGCAGTTGTCCCGTGAGAGATGTCTATCAAAGTGCAGAATTTTATCGAAAAATATACTACCTCGTAATTCAATTTTCTCAGATTCCCTTTTCTTCTACAGGCGTACGCATGTTCATGCATTCGTTATATTGAGCATTACTTTTTTTTTCCTTTTTCTTTCTTTTTTTATCTTCTATCATTCTCTCTCTCTATCTCTCTCTCTCTCTCTCTCTCTCTCTCTCTCTCTCTGTGTCTCTCCTTTTTCTGTTCTTTTTTTTTATTTTTTTTATTTATCGATAAAAGGGCATTGAATGACCTATAAGCTGAAGACGTATTTAACTGCAATTTTTGCAATTGTGAATTTTATTATAGAAGAATAGAGTGAAGAAAAATGCTTAAACTACGGGAATTTGTTCAAGCGAGTGGATAGTTATGATTAAGCGAGAAATAGCAGTGGAGGTTATATTATATATATATATATATATATATATATATATATATATATATATATATATATATTACATTAAAAAATCTATGTAATTTTGGACAGAGACAGATAAAAATTTAGAAGAATTTGTATTTGTGTAATTATTTCTTCAAATATTAAGTTTTCTTGATTTTTTTTTTTTTTTTAAATACATCACTCTTAATTTCTTAAGTAGGATAAAAAAATGTTTGAGGCTATTATATTTACATTTCACATCAGTGCAATTCAATGATAAAGTTACTCCAATGATTTTAGTATTTTAAAAATCCACAGTGCACAATACATACAGAGTTTATATTTCAAAATATGTCATGTATTATAGATATTTATATTGATTTAGTTGATTTCATTATCTATTGCGTTATAACTTTATACAATTAATCTGTTATATAATATATATAATATTATGTAATAATATTATATAAATTGTTTAAATTTATTATTAATAAGCTAAATGTTATTTGAAAAATCTTAAGCACTCTTAGCATTATACTACATACACAATGAGCGAAAATAGATTTTCGTTTATGCTTTATACGCACATCAGTAAAGAATAGAATATAATTTTAAAAGCAATTATTTACGTGAAGTAGTACATTTATTCGTCGAAAGTCCTTATTCCGGAATACTCGATTGGAAATTGCGAGAATTGTTTTACAATTTATTAAGTTTTGTAAATCGCGTGTTATTAATAACTTATTTATGATTTTTTATGAGTTCGGTCATTTCACATTCGTTCATCTCAATAAATATTTATTCGATGGTTTAATCTCAGCTCGCTATAGATACTTTCGCATGTGTTCACATAAGTATGATATAAATTTATACTTAAACATATAATTTAAAGTCTTTCGAACTTTCATTAGGTATATTTTTGTATTTATTTTGTATAAAAAATAAAATTTCATGAAAAATCTTTTATCTCATAATTGGTTTATTATCGAAATACCAATATTTGTTATAATTCGTCCCACTACTTGTTAATAAAAAAATACGAAATTATCGAGACGGGGTAGAAAAATGAGATATAATTGATTTTAGATGGATATAATCTAGAGATTAGCCATGCTAAGTTTGAATATAGTGAAAGCAAAGCCTTTCGTTTCAGGTCTCGTGGGTGCGTAGACGCGGCGATGAGCTTCACCTGCTTACCTTTGGACAGCAGACGTACTCCAGCGACTCCCGGTTCTCCCTCGATTCTGAGATGCCGAACAATTGGCGTCTACGGCTGAGTTCCGCGACTGAGAGAGACACCGGCGTTTACGAATGCCAAGTCAGCGCTCATCCACCCCTAATAAGGACCGTTCATCTCTCCGTATCTGGTAAGTGATCGATCGAATGACGCCTTTATTGGCAATGTCATTTGCTCAATGATTAGACCTATTAGAGGAGAATAAGGGATTGCTGACTAGAATCATTCGTTTCTCACGTACGTTACGTGATACGGGATCGAGCCTCCTACACATAATTTCATAAGACTTTTGTGACATTTGCTCCCACGTACGTACGTAATAAGTAATTGTGATCCTTAATACCAAAGTTACGAAATTTCGCCGATAAGCTCTACGTTTTCTATAAATAAGTGTTACTAGAACTAAAAAGGGAAAAACAAAAAACAAAAACAAAAAAACTACATTTTCAATTACTTCGATGTAAAACAATCCCCTCCACACCCTAACCGCCAATGAAAAACTATGTATAAACGTCAGAGCTTTTATGTAGATATAACGCGAATGAAGTAAAATAAAGGCAGCTAAGGTAAAAAAAAAAAAAAAAAATTAACAGCTAGTTTAGCTCGTGAAAGCCAAATAGTAGTACAGCAAAATACCTAAAGCATGTCAGAGATTCGTTGGAATACGTAAATCACATGTGGTTTAGTTACCGGTCGAGTATATGGTATATAACATAGTATTCGAAACCTTTTTAACGATTTTATTCTTCACGATGAATCTATAGTCCTCGTAACTGGCTCTTTGATTGTATCAATGAACATTCAATGAAGCTTCTTCTTGCTTCTCTATGATCAGTCGTACTAAAAATAATTCTTGTTCGATATCTGAATTAATTGACCGACACCCGTCATACATTTATACGCGTGTATTTGGAAAATAATGTTTTCTATTCTGGTCGGTGATATGAATCAATAAATTAAATTATTTTAAGTATAATATTGATTATGAGTGTATGCGCTGATGCTTCGTTTCTAATAGTATTGCACAATTATATTGTCTCGCTACGTTTATGTATGACTATTCATTAAATCCTTCTTTTCAATTATTCAGCATTACTAGCTCTCGCTTATCAATAAGTTGCTATTTGAGTATAAAATTATTGCCACACTATTCCTCGTATTACAGAGAATAACTTAGTTAATATGTCAAATGTAGTTGGTAGTCAATTTTTTAGCTGAAACCATTGTAAACTCATATTTGAATATTTCGAATTTATCTATCAAGATCATCAATCTATTAACTTATTATAAACAAAGTTTCAATTAAATTGCAGTTAAAATATTGTCATTCTGAAAATTACATATTGATGAGAAAATATTAAATTGAAAAAGATATTACTTATTAACAAATATTTAACGAAAAAAATAATAATTAATGATGCGATACAATGATAAAAAGTTAGACTATGTACCGAAGATTTTCATGCATCAACCTATCATTCTATCTAAAGTATGTTCATCTTTGTTTGCCTTATGGATTATAGGCTATTAAAACTTCAACATTATATTTATGTAAATTACAGTTTGGAGAAAGTTTTCCATAAAATATATAAAAAATTTAATGCAACCAAGCATGAAACATAGTCCTTATAACAGCTAGATTTTACAATAAGTTGTTAAAGTATGAAACTTCAATGATATAATTTTTGTACTTTATTGTAATATTTTATTGTCTTATTGTAATATAAATTTATTCCAATTCCCGTAATATCATCAAAGATAAAAGCTGAAAGCATAATTTGATATTTATAGGGACAGAGTAGGGATTATTAGGATAGAAATGAGATTTTCAAATCTCCTAAACTCTGTCCTAAGTCAAGGAAAATCACCGCTAAAAAATAAATCCTGAAGATAAGTTGAAATAATTTGAACTGCAAGCCAAAATTAGCCCTTCCTAGTCATGCTTTAATGTTGAACTGTAATATTCATAGCCGTAAACGCCTTTGGGCAGCGGATTATCAAAGTAAAATTTCACAAAGACTTGAGTATAAGAAATAGTTAAATCTTGGAAATTGCACGATTTTACGCAATACGATTAAATAAAATACATCGTCTTTCTCTCTTAAATAGTTATTCATCATATCGTCAAATTCAAACACACTAATAGCCAATTACGAATTAATGGCAAGGCGACTCGCGCATGAAAATTTCTCCATAAGCCCTATAATACGATAAAGTCAAGCTAAATAAAAAGGATACATGACTGTAAATAATATAAAGATAAGTTTGAAAGTGAAATCCCACCGTTTCATTAAACCTTACGTAGCAAAGTCTGGGCTCAGGCTTTCACTTGTTATGCGGAGTTATGCGGCCCGTGTGGTTCACGCGTTGCTGAAAGGCTGAAAACGCACGTTTCAGAATCCCGCCACTGCACCGTAGCAAAGTTTGAATTGCCAGAGCCTTGAAAGCCCTTTCCTACTTTGGCACAAAATGTTCGAGCTCTCCAATTCTCGTTAGCACATGATATATTTACGGAGCTGAAGCAGGATGAGGAGAAATTTTTCGTCATTGTACGATGTAGGACTCGACGGGACCACCTAACTTTCATTTATACTGGCCCACTGATAGGAGGCTAATTTTATCATTTTTATCTCTGCGAGATCATGATAATGCCATCTGTTGAATTAAATGGGAGATCACATGGAGGAGTAATGTAGTTTGCAGTATTTGTTTCAGCTTAAATCTTCGCAAGTTCCCGAACAACATGTACGCTCGGTTATATCGCGCCACTTAGCGTCATTCAACCGTAGGAATTATTAAATGGATTTTAATGACGAGATACAATAATTGATTCACGTTGATACTTGCAAAAGAAAAAAGAAATCAGAACAATAGACAAAGAAATGGCATTCCTTTTATGGAATGCTAGATAAATTCAAATTAAATTTTTAACGAACTTCTGGCCTTATAAATATGTATATATACATACATTAATAGTAAATAGATTAAGTAACAAGTTCATGGAGATACTGCGAGTCTTCGGCTATTCTCAGTTTTTATTTCAAAACGTTGAATCGAAGATTGGAGTAAAAGTTTTTCAATCCCGTCATGTACTTGCATTTTAGATCTTTTTTTGATATTAATCCTCATTCTAGTGGTATGGCCCTCACAAGTTCGAGTAGAGCGAGATCAAAAGGTCAGATTATTTCGTTCTTCATATCGATTATATGCAGCACCGATTCAGCAATTCACCGAGCACTGTTGACTCGCTGTTGACTTATCAAAAAAATCTTGATTTAATAGGAATCTTTCGACCGACAGAAGCTTATCGTAAAACAAATACAATGTATATTTCATATTATGAAAGATATAATGCAAAATTTAATTTATCAATAGGGCTATTCACATTAGTTTATTAAACCAAAACTTGTTATTAAAAATAAGCATTTGAATTAGAAATTATTTGAAATTGACTTTATGTTAAAAAAAAATTAAATTATGTATTTTTTGTGTTCTTGTTCAAGCAACTTAAACGTGTTATAGAAGTAAATGTGCGAGATTATATATAATAAGCTTTTTCCTAATACATTATTTTGTCATTTGATTTAAAAAACGAATAATTGATTTTGTTACATTTAGCGGATAAGAAGTAAAAATTAAATTATTAGGAATGATGGAGTTTGAATTCCCTAATATTATTTTAATAATAATAATAATAATAATAATAATAATAATAATAATAATAACAATAAACGTATCGATGACAATGGAATTCGAAAAGTTAAGAAGAATAGCCACGAATCATATTAATAAGTATTATAATAATTAGAATAATTATACGAATAGTTTATTCTTAGCTAAAGGGCATTGATAATTTTTATAAATATAATTTAATAAAAAACTTTTGGAAATTTAAGTAAATACTTTGACAATATTCAGCGTAAATTCAAAGATATGTAGAGCGAAAATAACCTTTAGGCTGTTAAAATGAAGCACGATTCAGAATTTTGCACATGCTAAACTAAATAAATTTGTAGCTTTTTACTCAATACATTGAATGTTAAAATACATTTATGGAGTCATTATTAAAAATTGCTACATATAAACTCATATACTAAAATCTTAAATGGCTGGGACTACTTCAATTCTGTTATATGTATTAGATAATAATAAAAGGTCTTATGTATTTGTAACTTTCAAGATATACACTTTTTGTATCTTATCATTTTAAAATAACACTGTTCTGCTGTTCTTTATTAATTATATCAATTATTAAAATCCGTTCTCACGAATATTCTAGAAATAAAATATTTTTTTATAAACAATAAAATGGTTAGGTCATAGATGTTAGAAAAACTAAAGGAAAAAGCTTTCCGCTGAATTTTAATTGAGAAATAATTCGAATTAAATATATTTCATGAGATAGCGTAATTGCATATAATGTCAAAAATAAATAATACTTCTCTTAATGATTTGCATATTTCATGAAATTTATGTTTTAATTTATTAAAAATTCTTTTGCACTGATAGTAATGAAAGCCGTATATAATTGAGGCTATTTAGCATTATGAATTATCATAATCTTATTTATTTTAATATTCTGTTTATTTTAAAAAATTATGAATTTTGAGGAGCTATTGAGCATGCTCTTGCTGATGGGACTTTGTTTCTTTAATTTTATTCCTAGTATAATGAAGTATTTACATACTTCATCATGAAATTTACAAATTGTTCATTATTTATTATAATAGTACTTTATAATAAAGACTAACGACACATTAACGCTAATATTTCATTCGAGTTTTTAAAATTTATACAAAACTTTCTTATGATTTTTTTGTATTTAATATATTCAGTTATGTACGGATTCGCATATCTTCATGTCCAACTCACTGAGAGTTTGACATATTTGCACCAGACCATCTCGCTTTGAAAAAATATTTATATATGTAGAAAGGTGCATTTCTACAAAACGCTACTCTTTCAACATGTTCTTGTTCAAATACGTTAGCATTTTCCCTTTTTCCCAATATCCTTTTTTATTTTGCGGTTTTTTCTCTGTCATCTTATTTTTATTTGAGATGAAAATAGATATGTGTGAAATTTTAAAATAAAAAGATGCTATATTGCCATGGAAAAGGTGATTTGCTA